CTAAAATATTTAATAGCTCCTGTCCCTGTTCAAATTGCTTTGGATGGTCCGTATGACAAGAAAGGTGCTATAAAACCCAGTCCATTTATTATTTAATCTAATATCCTCGGAGAGTAACGCATTTTTTTCCCCTCCTTACTATTTGAAAAGCACAGGGATGTTGTAATAACACCTACTTCTAGCTAATAATCTTATTTCTATCTCCATCCACCTGTACCTTCTTTCTCAATATAACCGGAAGAAAGCTGAATTTTTTTTTTCTCCCCATCAAACGTCAATATGATCCTCTCAAAAACAAAAAAATGACCTTTTACTGCAGAGCTAGAGCAGAATACTAATGTCTGCAATTCACACTTTGCAGCGCAGGACCTGTCGATACCCATCAGAGAGTATTGATCAACAATGCAATTGGTGGAGTAGCCTTAAAAGTGCTGTTATTTCACATCATTTTGTTTGAATGAGGTTTAAACCTCAGTCCATTCTGGAAATATTGAATCATCTGTAGGGTCATCTTTTTATTTCCTTGAAGATGATGTTATACAATAGTAATGATACATCATAGTATTGCATTAATACACAATTTTTCTTGATTGATTAAAAGTGTTTCTAGTAATTGTTCAGCAACAAAAATGTGTTGAAAAGATAAAAAAAGCAAAAGATACATTTAAATCTTTTTTTTAATATCTCATAGCTGAATGCCACTTTTATTAAGCTAAAGTTTTTTTTTTTATTACCTCTTCTAAGTTTTACATATGTTGTCTCTAACAAAATAAATAGTATTTATTGTAAAGATTTTTGAATTGTTTATATTTTTAAAATTCTCAAAACCTTGGTAAATAGTTGGCTTTCCATCAATCTTTCACCAGACTAAGTTTCTTACAACCTTGTTTCACCACTTAATGCAGCAGATGTAGTCTTATTACTGGTTTTATGTTGCTTGTTCTAGTTTTACGCTTAAGCCCTGTTGTATGTAACCATTGACAAAAACTCACCCTTTGCAGTGGCCTGTGTGGCAACAATCCGGGGCGCCAACAGATGGGTTTAATTTCACCTTTGCTCTGCTCGGTGGCGAGATAATGACAACTCTGCACTTTGGATTTATTTTGCCACAACAAAAGCATTTTTTTTTTTTATGATGCGTATAAAATGTAATTATTCTAACTATGGAAGACGGCTACGTCTTAGCTATGTAAGTAGGAAAATCTACAGTGATGTGATAAACCAATGAAGACTTCATGCTCTTCTGTTTTTCATGGGAGTGATTTAGTCTAGCATGTGGGGGTATAATTGTTTTTTGCTTGATTTTTATTTTTTATTTTTTTTTTACATGTTTCTGATTACTTTCACCATAAATAACCCCACACTACCTCAATTGTGTGTAACAAAAACAAACGCCACAAAAACAAACTACATGAACACATAAACCTTAGACAATAGCTGTTTGCTTCCTTTGCCTATTTGTTTTGGTGCTAACACCCTGGAATTTGCTCACTGAAAGAATAAAGACTATTTTTTTGCACTATTTAAAAAAAAAAGATTTATTTCACCATGCTCACTCTGAAAAAATCAACACTATTTTTAACCTATTAAAAAAAAAGATTTATTTCCCCATGTCACATACAAAGTAAAATACATGTTTTGGATAGATGAATGATTTTTATATGTGTAGAATATGCACCAACGGGTGCTGGTGGAATGCATACATTTTCTTGGCTATGTGGGAATTTGAGATGACACAGATTTTTGACCTTTTAAACTATTGCAGATTAATCAGAATCAGAAATACTTTAATAATCCCAGAGGGAAATTACTTCTGTTACACGCTCCTGTTACAGTTTTATATATATATATCCACACATCCAACTACACAAGATAATAAAGATAAAAATAAAAAAGATAAAACATATACACATGTAGATAAAATATATACACATATAGATAAGTAGGTTTTACCAAAATTGCACAGATTTGCACAAATTGTTTTTTGGGGGATTCATTTTTCATATTCTTTGGTTTTGTGGTTTAAAAACATTTTAATTATTCCTTTAGTTATTTATAAATCTGACCTTTTTGTATGGCCTCGTAACAGAAAATACATGTAATTTTTCTTCTTCAAGTTCAAAGTTATATCAACCATAAGTATTACAAAACCCCTAATTTTTGTGCTATTTTTTGTCTCTACAATAAATATTGTCTCGAAAATGTTCTGAGTTGTACCAGAAAATGGTGTGCATCTTTATTGGCTAAAGATGTAAACCAGATGGAAGCAGTCAGGGTTGATATGGTCGGTTCAAATGATATTTTATTGATATGCAATGTGTTATTGACTGAGAGTTTAAAGATAATATCCTACCCTAAATTAACTACATGCAGCTCTATTTGATTTGCCCAAAATGATATTACAGTGATGATTGTAAATGGGTATCCTTTTTTGTTTTATCCAACAAGTCTTTTTTAATTTTTGCCCTTTTTATCAAGTGTAACAAATATTTAGCTACTGATCAATTTCATTCCAATTGCTAAGGATTCTGCGCATTACATTTTCTTACATTTTAATCAGACTATAAAACGACAGTCCTGTTTTATTAATGCAAATCTAGTAACAGTGATTTTTGCTTTGTGTTTCAGGGACAACCTGTTGGCCAGTGTGATTTCAATATTCGACTCCTGTGCATAGAAAAAGAAATCATTTTTCCACGTATGGAAAAAATGAAGATCGGACAGATCGACAAAACCAAGGAGCCCTTCAGTGTCAGAAATAAACCCTTCTTTGACATTCATGCGTCACGCAAGGTAAGATGGACCAGCATGCTGTTTTTACTTTCCAAATCATTCCCTTCCCTTTAACTTTACCAGATGTGACCCACTTAAGATTTATCCTTTCTTTTGGTTCATGCACAAATCCAGGCAACCCAGTTGTTTTGCACATTGTATACTCACATGTTATCTGTCAGTAGTATCCCAGTTTATATCCAGATAATTTATTTTCTAGGGAAATGGCTCTTCAAGGGCAAATTGATCCCAAGAGAATGACCAGTACAAGAGATGAAACACATTTTTGTACCTTTATCCTACAGAAAATGACAATCTTGAGGGAGAAAAGAGCTCTCAAATGAGTGTCTGGTACCTCGGCTATTTCCCACTGGGACTTATCCTGTGCAATCTCAAATGATTGAAAACCTGGATTACAATACATTGGCTGGATCTTGTCTTGAGTGTGTGAACTTGAGCGCATATTTCCATTACTTTTTTAGCATTTATGCTCATTTCACCAGAGATCTTCCCCATTCTAAGCATCAGGTAATAAGTGATCTCTGCTAAGGTTTTAGTACAGTAAGCTGAAAGCAGCAGAGCTTTTATCGCCTCTATGGCTGTTAAGCTTTCCTCGAAAGGCTCTGCTCTCGACCTTCTCTCAGGGCTGCAGGAGTTCAGAGCACAATTCATTTTGTGTTTGACTCGAACAAAGATCAGTTTGAAATCTTGTTCCTGTGTCCTAACAGACGATCAAACTGAAAGGACAAGGTGATATTTATGATTTTTTTTTCTCCCCCAGCCCTAATATCTAAGCGTTTTTGTTCATCGTAAAATTGTTAGAATGAGTGTTGTTACCTCAGGTCTAACCCTGTGCTACCCACATTGCAAAGAATTTTTATGAAGGATCGACCCTGCAAGCTTTTGGGTTCATTCCGATGAAGTTATTTTGGAAATTTAGTCACTGGTCCGCTGTCTGGTTTCTGACTGCCCCTTTGTTTCCTCCATATGCCATCTGCTCTCTGTACAGTCCCCTCTCTGTTGTGTGGGGCATTAAATAAGGGTTACTAGAATCTGGCTTATTAATTCATCTCAGCACAAACCCCCACTTTATGGCGTATTAATTCCTTTTAGGGGTGTTTCATTCAAATGCTAGAGTTGTATGACCGCTTTTGTCTGTTTCTAGTCTGCTGTTTTTTATCTCATCTCATTCACTTAGACATTCTAGGCAGCAATTTCCCCACCAATTGGGGGCATTTCTTTTTGGTTTTACTTCCTCTACTTAACAATGAACGTTTTTGTTTTAATTAGACTTGCACAGCAAGACAATGAAGTAGTGTATTTTGGATTTCCCCATTTGCACAGATTGAATGGACTGGAAAGTGGAAATAGCTACATTTAGCAGCACTATTGCGTGAGCTTCTCTGCTGTTTTGTATGATGTGCTGTTATGCACTAAAACTTAACAGTTCACTCCATCAAGGTTAATGGCTTTTAGTGACATTTTAAACATGTTTTTTTTTTTTTTTTCTGAAAACGTTTAATGAAATCTGTGGGTAAATAGACAGGATCTATAAACACAATTTTTTATTGTTTCCTTTTTTTCTAAACTATATTTGTAAATCAGTTTGCCACTTAAAAATGTGATTTCTGCAAAAAGTTCTTTAAATTTGATTGTTGCTCATTTAGACTGTAAAATATTAACAGTCAAAGGGGAAATGGAGAAAGTATATATCAAAAGCAAATAGTGATAGAAAGCAGTTCTTCTTTAGTAATAAAATTCCTTTTTTTGATTCATTCTTTTTCAGGCGATTGAAAAACAGGCTACATATACAGTAAATATTTAAATATTCACCGGTGGACACAAAAATGTATATACATATCTATACACGTACTTGTTCCTGCATAATCTAATAAATGATTTCTTTTTCAATAAAGCCCCTGTCACACCTTGACGATTTAGCCAGCGTATGCCTGACCTACAATAATCTGGCAAAAACACTGGCATACGTTGGATAAGTTACGGGTACGTTTTTTATAAATTATGAGCACGTTGAAATACGCTGAAGCACGCTTCTGCATAATGGCATATTTGCAGCATTTTGGTAGGAAAGGGAGGACACCGCCTGTTCACCTCCTTACTTCTTCTGCATCATAGGGTGAGCGAGAAGGTGAGTGTGATGAACAAGAACTCAGGGCTATGTTTAATACTGAAATTAAGAGCATTTTCACACGCACAATGCGAAGGGAACTCAAGGGATTGGGACTGAACAGCTGTGTAGCTGTAAGAAAACCACTAATCAGTGAGGATAACCGGAAAAGAAGGCTTCAAATTGCTAGGGAGCATAACGATTGGACAGTGGAGCAATGGAAGAAGGTCATGTGGTCTTATGAGTCCAGATTTACCCTGTTCCAGAGTGATGGGCGAATCAGGGTAAGAAGAGAGGCAGGTGAAGTGATGCA